TCCATCCATCCATCCATCCATCCATCCATCCATCCATCCATCCATCTTCTTTTACTTTCTTCTTCCTTTACGGGTCACGGGGGTCACTGGTGCCCATGTCCAGCCATCACTGTGTGAGGGGCGGGGGACACCCTGGACAGGTCTCCAGTCCATCACAGGGCCACAGAGACAAACGAGACAAACAACCATTCACTCTCTCACTCACACCTAGGGACAATTTAGAGTTACCAATCAGTCTAACATGCATGTTTTTGGTCTGTGGGAGGAAACCAAAGTACCCGGAGAAAACCCACGCATGCACAGAGAGAACATGCAAACTCCACCAAGAGGAGCCCCCTGGCCAGGATGTGATCCGGCGACCTTCTCGCTGAGAGGCGGCACCACGCCAGCTCTACCAACTACGTCACCGTGCCACCTAGAAAACTACTCCAATTTCTAAAACTTCAGGACGATTTATGTAAATGCTATTTTGAAAACATTTACACCATTTTTGCTGAAGTGCATGTTCTCATGGCATGCCATTAGCAGCAGCAGCTAGCAGTGGCACTTCTGGTGCAGCCTGAGGTGTTTCCTGTAGGAGCATCATGACTCAACTACAGATGGAAAGATTTATAAACTTGCATAAAATGCTATTTTTATTTTAGATTTAAGTAGTTTTAAAGGAATACCTCAGATGACCTGACTGAAAAATGTTGGATTGTATACCTGGATTTTTGAGCATGGACTTTGTTGTTTTAAAGGAAAAGTTCAGTCATTTTTGTCAGTTTGCACCTCATCAGATGTGACATCAGTCATGGAGTGTGAAGAAAGAGGACTAACAGTTAAAAAATGAGAATGAGTTGTTTTAATAGCCTGGATGTCACGGTTCGTAGAGGTAGGACCCAGGAATTCAGACTGATATGAGGAGATCGAGTAAAACTTTAACAAAATGAAAGTCTGACACGGCAACAAAACAACAAAATCACAAAACTCCAGGAGAGCCAGATGAAGCAGACACAATGTTAGACTGAAGAGGAAGTGAAACGCTGTGGGACTTTATGGCCTGATGGGAGGAGGGGAGACACCAGAGCAATATAACAACATAGAACAGGTGAGAGTGGGCGGAGCAAGAGCTGAGGAGCTGAAACTGACTGAAGAAGAGTAAACTGGTGATACAGGGAAGATTATACTACACTATAAGAAATGGAAAAATAACAAAATAAATCTACAGTAAGACAAAAATGACTCAAAGACCAAAGAAAACAAACAATGGGCCTTCAGTTGGCTAGACATTAGCCTGCCTGGATGAAGACTTTTGTCTCAAATTCCATGTTTTTTGAGTGATGTCACGACTGATAAGGTTGTAACTTTGACAGAATAGCTTCATAAATAGTCAGATTATCACTTTAATATGACGGAGAATCAGTGGTGGAGAAAGTACTCAAACACTGTACTTAAATAAAAGTACAAATAAACAGACAAAAATGTACTCTAGTAAAAGTAGAAGTACCACATTAACGTTTTTACTTAAGAAAAAGTAAGTATTTGCTTTTAAAAATACTTAAAGTATTCAAAGTAAAAGTACTTCCTGAATGTATTACCTAATGCAATGGTCTACAATATCATTGTGTATGTATATTTTCTGTAATGCATTAATAGTGTTGTAACATTTTAATGAACAATGCTGCAGATAATACATGTTTTTATTTGTTTACTCTGTGACACAGTTCACTCTTGGACTTGTGATTCTGTGCGTCAGAATTTCAGGGATGAGTTAAATACCATTAAGCAAACTAAGAAAGTGGAATGATTATACCTTTGAAAGTTTTTATTTAACACAAAGCAAATCCATTGTGTCATTTTAACTGCAGTAAACACATTTAAGTAAAAGTTGTCTGAAAAAAGGAGTGTAGTGAGTCACGTGGGTACGTGTCACTAGTTGTAGTATGACAAATATATGAAATATATATGCATACAATTTCACGAGTTCCTCATCTTTCTGACTGTGTAAGTCGTGCATTGAATTTTAACAAAAATGTAACGAGAGACGTTATTATCTTTGACCCATCAAAATGAATGTGGTCATTTATTTTCAGAATCAAAGTTTAACATCAAACATTTACATTAATTTGGCAAAATATGAAAATAATAACAGACAAGTTTCACAGAAAATGAGCATCGATCACTCGGCGGTGAACGAGGACTTTGCTTCAGATATTTCTAAAATATCTGTACTGGTTTTGTGAGAGAGAGAAGAGTTTAAGATGAAATGGAGATTTTCTTACAGAGAACTATGTGAGGGAATTAATATCTGTTGACCAGAACGTGCACGCTTCATCAGATCTCAGCTCGCCTCCGGTACACTTTAGTCGAAGAAGAGACCGTTACCTGGTGATGATAGATCAGCTCGATAGAGAATCCTCCAGACCTTTCAGCGTCTCCGTTGAGAGCTGCTGAAATCCTTAGATAGTCGTGCGTGGGTTGTTCAAACAGAAGTTATAATTCCAAACGTCTCTGACTCTCCTGAATTCTCGAATTCTCTTCCATTCACTTCACCATTCTTCATGAATTCCCCATGAATTCTAACCAATTCTCCTCAGAACTCCTTGAGAACTAACTTGAGAACTAACTTGAACTGGGAAGTTGCCACATTTTAAATGGGTCGACTTCCGGTTCAATTTAGAGCTTTCTGATTCGTGGATGTACCAGAAAGAGGTGTGGTTTTTGACGTAAGGTATTATCAAAAGTCGAGGTCAGGGAATGAATTTGTTTTCAACATACAGAAAAGATTATTGCAGAATACCAGACTTTTTGGAGCCTCACTCTGTTGTATCTTTCCAAATAGTAAAACATGACATCCCTTTTTCAGTAAACATTTAGTTGACCGAAGCTTCAACTTTCACATACTTACGACTTGGCTCATTTCAGACAGAAAATCAAGAAATGCATATTAACCTGATTTCTTCTTTGAATGAGGAGTAAAAATCATTACTTACTGTTTATGTAAAATAAAAATGAGTAGTTCTTTTCAACCTGTAAGCATTGAGTGAAACTAACACAATTTGATTATCAAACATTTGTAAGACAGTAATGATTATAAAGAATTGTCTTTTCTGCTTGATTAATTCAAGAAAGAAAGTCACCAGATGGCTCAGACTGTTTTCAGATCAATGAAAATAACAGTCTCTGTCCATCTGGTAGATTTGAGGTCATCAGGGTCAGATAAGGGTCAGACCAGGTTCACTACAGTCCCCCCTTTGGAAATCATCACCTGTCCATGGGGATGAATTCCAACCGCGAACTTAGACCTTCAAATGTCCTTGAGCTTGATGTAATCCAGCAAGGAAGACCGAAGTCAGAAGTAATCCAGCAAGGAAACAAAGTCAAGGTAATTCCACAATGTTCTTGGTATTCCATTGTGTTGGTTATAATTCCATATCGTCTCGATAATCCCATTGTAGCAATGCTTTAACCCCTTGGAAACAGAGTCTGTAATCCATTGAAAAAGTCATATAATCCACAACGGTAAATCCACAGCGATTGGAAGTGTTGATTAATCAGCATACAGAGGGGTACCCTTGGATTGAACTGAAGAAGCGGCCACTGGATGAAGAGTTGAGACCAACGTCAGGATTGCAGGTCGCCTCCAGCGAAGGTTGTCTCCAGCGACGTCCAGCCTGTGCCGTTCTGGTTCAATGTGTCATGCAATTATGTGGTTTAAGGTGGGCTTATGAAGGGGATTTTACATAAGGCCTTAAACTATATGCATCTGGTGTGTAAGCTATTATGGTTG